CAGATTAAACCAATGTCTCATTCAGTGTTTTGGATATGGCCCCTGGCTGTCAGCAAGGAGCCCTATCAAGAGATTTTTCTTTTAATACTGGGACTCTGAGTTTTATGTTTCAAAGATAAGGCCTTGCTGTATCTGTAGGCCCAAAGCTGATGCACACTGTTCAGCTAGTGTGTTTTTAGACTTTTTCTTATACTGACAGGATTTAATCTGTCCTTGGGGATCTGTTTTGACCAATGAAATACTCTTAAAGCATTGATTTTGGTGGGATTAATATGATACTTATATCAAGGAAAAATGACATAATGAAAATTGGTTTTTGAATCTTTGTTCTGAAAGACAAATTTTATTTTTATTCAATTTGTGAGATTGGATGCTCCCTACTCATCACTACCAGATAAAACACTTCTGCAGAGTGAATAGGTCAGTATTTCTAATAAGCCTGTGTTATTTCCTTGTTTCTTTTCAATTATTGAGAGAGGTTTTCTCTAAAATTACATATGTCAACTGTCAAAGGATGTTATGAGATTACAGAAAATTTGAGAGCAAGGAGATTTCAAATTAGAGAAGTAAAATCAAGAGTTAGATAAGTAGGTTCAATTTTACCTAATTTCAAAAGACAATATTTTGGTGCTATGCTTTCTACAACCAATAAAGTACTAAAGAAAAACACATATTCATTTAGTTTTTATGCCTTTGTTACTGGGTCTCACTATACAGCTTGGATCATAGCGATCCTCTGTTTTCAGTGTCCCCAGCACTGGGATTACAAGTGTGCACCACCATGCCTGGACTCTGTCCCCAGCTCGGCATACCCAGGGGTGGTGGCAAATGTAGCATGTGGTGAAGAGGAGAAACAGCGGTTCCTGTGCTTGCCTAAGCAGGCGCTTAGTCCACTGAGCTATCCCTTGGCCCCTAAGAAATGATTTTTTAAAAAGCAGAATTCCTGGTCTGTAGAATTGGAGAGGTTTGTAATAAAATAGAAGCAGGTGAGACACAGTCCACTTGACTTCATATTTCTGTGAATGCAAAGTTTATTTACTAATAATATGTTTTGCCTTTCACACATGGTACAAAGAAATTAATCACAATTTAAGGCTCCAGCTTTCCTTTCTGGAAACTCTCATTAAGTCCAATGTATTCTGTGATACTCAGAGTAGGTAAATAAATGTGTTCTATCTTGTTAATATATATATATATATATATATATATATATATATATATATAGTGACTTTGCTTTACTTTCACTTTAACATGTGCTCCTATAACTACACTCTCTCGGAGTTCTAGTGTTAGGAAATTGTGCATTTTGCATCCATTGCTGTTATTAGGAATAAACAGTCATGGTGACACATTTTGTCCCTCAAGAAGGGGCCTCTAACACTCCATTATATTTAGTACTCCTGATTAAAATACAATTAGTTCTCTTTTCAAAGGTGGAATCCCTACACCAGAAATGGGTAAAACCTAAGCCTCCAAATGTAGCTGAACACATGGATAGACATATTTTATTTATCATTAAATTATGGAAATATGGAGTGGGGAGAAAGTTCAAGAGAAAGCAACACACAGGACATTATTTTATATCCTGATAGTGCAGATGTAAGTAGAACAGATCTTACTCGCTGTGCTTTGTTGGGAGGAGGCAGTAAAGACATGTAAGTAAAATATGAAATATAGCACATAGTGGAAGTGCTGTGGAGAAATATCAGGCAGGTGGTGGTTGTAGAAGGGCAGGGACTGGAGGTGGTTTGCTATTTGATTCATGGAGCAATTCCCCAGCAGGATGTACCTGCTTAAGGCTGCCTCTGGTTATACCATTACAACCTGTGTCTTTTCAAGTGGTGCTTAACAAATGCTGAACAGTGGATGGAAAAGCTTAGTGTCAAGTAGAACCTCCCTCTAGCTGGATGTACCCTTTCTTTCCTTACAATTAGAATGTAACTTACTTTTATTTAGCTGGCTGGTGATCACCTGCCCTGTCCAGCTAGAAAATAACATACACCATGATAAGCACTGTTGTATTTTATTCACTCACACAATCAGAACACTGATTCTTTTTTCTTTCTTCTTTCTTTTTCTTTCTTTCTTTCTTTCTTTCTTTCTTTCTTTCTTTCTTTCTTTCTTTCTTTCTTTCTTTCTCTTTCTTTCTTTCTTTTTTTTTTTTTTGTATTTTTTTAGGGAAGGGTCTACAGGGTGTTCAGGGTCTCTCTACTAGATTGGACTCGGAGTAATCCGTCTGTTTATAGACTCCCAAGAGCTGGGATTACAGGCGTGCACCACCAAGCCCAATCTCAATTGCTGTCTCAGCATGCTTCAGGGGTGCTTCAGGATCGAACCCCTGACCCCTGTGCCTCCTTGCAGGAGCTTTAATCTGCTGAGCTATTTGGCTGGCCCTAGAACACTGATTCTTTTTTTTTTTTCTTTTTTCTTTTTTTTTGGTGGAACCAGGGATTGAACTCAGACCCTTGCGTTTGCCAGGGAAGTGCTTATTCTACTGAACCATCTCCCTGGCCCCCTAGAACACTGATTCTTAAAGATAGTAGGATTTAGTAAATAGCTGCTGCATGGAGAAATGAATTATATGGTATAATTCTCCCTAAGAGAAAACAATGTAGTACTGACTTATGAAATATGAATTTTCTTTGTTGTTTTTATTGTCAGCTTTTATTCTGCCAACACACATTCTGACTGCTACTCAAAAATCCACCATTTGTGTGCTTAAGAATGCTGTATAAACACTTAGGAAGCTAATGCTGATACTTTGGAAAATCAAATATTATAGTACATTACCTGCATAATTATTAACTACAAAAGATCCAACTTCACCTGTATTCTTCAGACTTTCAAAGGGGTTCCAGCCAAGAAAAATATATTCATTAAGTTTTAGAAAAATGAGGAAAGATAAGTAAATATACATGAAATAATTTATTGAATTAGACTCAATAGACCAATGGTAGATGTTTTTGCTTTTTGGAAGGCAGCAAAAATGTGGTATTTGTTTTTAGCTGAAGGAAATGTTTTTGGCCTTTCTTATCCCAGACATGTAACTACATTCACTAATTTTTTTTCTGATAAATATGGCAAGAGTTTCTTTGGTTTCCAAAGAACCCTGAAAAGGTATAGTTTGTACTTGAGAGAGTCACACACAAGCATTGTAAGGATGTAGTTTAGCAGAAGAAAATAAGGGAATAAATGCCTAATAGGAATGTGTCATTGTTGATTAGGGTACGGAAGTGAAGGGCATGGTGTTTCCCTTCTGGGCCACACTGAGATACTCAGCAATCTGCTGACAGCATTTTGGAAACATTCTTGCTCTTTACTTATGCATGACTGCTTTATTAGATTTTAGTTCCTTAAGAGCAAGGCAGTGAGACTTCAATCACAACCCTAGAGTTGTGTATTGGTGGAAGCCGTGCTTTTAAAATGGTGATCTATATCCCTAGAGCTATTTCCAGGTAGAAAGTAGTAGGCTGATCTATTTCCATTGAGAAAATTATGGTCATTTATAGGCAGCTTAAAAATCTCATTACAATAGGCAAACCATGCTAGATTCCAATGTGAATTAGAATAAATTTTCATACACGTAACTTGCCTGTCTGCCTTTTTTGGGGGGTCTTACAGTATTATAAATTTACACTAACAATTTTTAGTATTTTTCCTTAGAATCCTACTCCAATTCAGTGAGGTATAGAAAAGAGTTTCATGATAAAACAAATCAGAATATAGCGTGTAGAATTTTCCTTCTGTCAGACAGCAGAAATGACAACCAAGATATAGACAGTCAAAGAAAGGCTACATTGAAGTGATGCCTTTAACTTTGCTTAGAATAGTTTTTAAACTAATTTTCCTTCAGAACTATTTTTTAGTGTAAACATGTGTTTATGTTTTTTAATTTATACCGTCAACTGCAAGTCAGCATTATTTTATATGGCACCAGAAAAGGTGTCAGCATTCCTTTAAGACCAAAGGAAATGCTACTTAATTTTATGATATAAAACGGAGCTATATATGCTAGAAACAAAATATGAAATTAAAACAAATAAACGACTTTGTCCTCTATAGTTAATAATTTCAGTGGAGTTTCTAGGATTTTTTTTTTTTTGAGGGGGGAAGGGTCTACAGGGTGTTCAGGGTCTCACTACTAGATCGGACTCGTAGTGATCCGCCTGTTTACAGCCTCCCAAGAGCTGGGATTACAGGCACTCGCCACCACGCCCAGTCTCAATTGCTGTCTCACTGCACTCCGGGGGCGGGGTCCACGCATGGCAGGCACGGGGATTGAACCCCTGGCCCCTGAACCTGCTTGCAGGAGCTTTAATCCTCTGAGCTATTTGGCTGGACCTTGTAGGATTCTTTGTAGTTTCATAGGAGCTCAATGAGCAGTCCTTTGAGCTCCAACACACCTCTCTGTGGAATGGTCTGCCGTGCAGTGGCCACGTGCATTTTATCACAGCTGTAAATTTACTTCACAGGCCACCATCCTTGCTGTCTTTGGCTCTTCTAAGAATGCTTGTGGACACTCTGCATTCAGAGGGGAAATCAGGAAAATCCCAGGCCTCAGCTTGCCCACTGGTACTCACTGACGGCCCTTGATGAATCTTTTCAGTCTTCCTCACGGTTATGCATGTGCGAGTTCCACACTAGATTTCAACTACTCTAGACAGTGTCTATATTTTCCATTTCTGTCTCCCTACTCTGCCTAGCATGTATAAAAGTAGACCCACTGTAAGTGTTAGTAGACTTATCCTTGATCAGTAACCCAGTAGGATCATTTCTTGTTTGTAAAAATCCCTATTATGTTACTGTGTGCAACCATGCCTTCGATTACTTATTTGTCAAGATAACTTTTTGCTGCAATAAATAATAAAGCTTTATGTACAAATCTAGAAGTTAAATCAGAAAAGCCACACTATATTTGCTGGTGTCATAAAATAGATCATTTTAATAATTAATATACATAAATAGTTTATGGTAGAAACAATAAAGTTCTATCAACTCTGCACAAACACTAAATTTCCAAATAATCTGTAAGGAACATATTCATAGCATTACATTCAAAATAATAGTTGAACAATGATTATCATTTTTCTGAATAATTTTTTTATATTCTACACATTTATTTAATATTACAGTAATTTTTGGTATTACAGTGCTTGGTTATCTTAAAGAAATGAAATAAAATTCTTATAATTGTATGTAGAAAATAAAGTCCTTTGGATAATTTTTATGAAAACAAAGTACTTTTTCCATAAAAATAAATTATTCGTTTTATGCTGAAATGTGACTTTATTAAGCATAAATGCTAAATAAAGGGACAGTTACATTCCTCTTTGGCAGTACGCTCAGGCATTCCCATTTTCCTCTCCCACACATATGATAAAGTGAGGTGCAAGTTGTTCACACGTGAGAAGAACAGCTTATTTTCACAAGAAAGGAAATGATACATGAAATAGAAATAATTTAAGCACCCAAGTGTCATGAAAGAGATATAAAATTCACTGAGGAAAAAAATACTTTTCAAGGCCATTGAGGTGACGCAACCTGACTATATCAAAAGTAGTTTTTAATCGTAGGGCCCTGTGTTGTCTGTCATATGGGCTTGCTCATGGCTGCCGGGCTCAAGTCCCCTCTCTTGACTTGAGGCACAGTGTTGGGTTAGAAGCGCAACAGCTGAGCCCCAGACCCATCACCTTTCACACAGGACTGAGAGACATCAACTTTTCCAGTCTCCTCCGAGAGTGGCTTCCAGAAGCAGCGCCTTTGCACCAGGCAGCACCGTTTGCATGTGGCAGCAGGGGGCTGACGTCTGTGGTGTGGCGCAACATCAATACGAGCCTGACGCTATTGGCAGTGACACTTCTGAGCCAAATGTGCTGGTTTACCTAGAAAAAAACAGGTGGAAGGCTGGGTTTCTATGCTAGATCATTCAATTAAATGTACTTAACATGTACTTAAGCAGGAGTAATACCTGAATGGCAATCCGGGGATGAGCGCACTTTAGGTTGTTTCTTTTTCTTGGTCTTATTTTTCTTTCTCCTTTTCTCAGCTTTATTTTTGCTTGCCTTCTTTTTCTTATTTTCCTCTTTGTACCATGGTCCCCAGACTCCTCCATTGAGCCGAGGATTACTCCTGGGGTCTTTGGGTGGGTATCTGACAGGCACAGCGGTCTTGTTGAACTGGGAGAGTCTCTTCAGGAGCTTCTTCACGATGCCTGGATACCTGCTAGAAAGGTCCACCCTCTCATATGGGTCAGCTGTGATGTTGAAAAGCCATAGGCTCTTGCCAGTAGACAAGGTAATCCGTTCATTGTGCCACCTGTTGGGTCCCAGGTTGCTGAAAGCCTGAGGTGGAACCCAGTCACTGTAGCCAGGATTTCCCGTGAGCAGTTTCCAATGCTGCACCCTGATGGCTGATTGGATGGCCGTGTTCCAGATCCCATAGCCTGCTGCCCATGAGCCATTTTTTGCCTTTGTGTAGATGGGGTCAATGTTATGCAAAATATCCACTCGGGGTGAACGAAAGCCTTCACTGATGGTCTCCCAGACATCGTAACCATCGAGTTGAGTATCTTCATCAATCTGTCCTTCAGCCAGTGAAATCAGGGTAGGGTACCAGTCAGTGATGTGCACAAGTTCCTTACATACAGTTCCCTTGTTTTTCAGAAGTGGGCTGTGCACAAAGCCAACAGCCCGGATGCCCCCTTCCCAATATGTTCCTTTGCTACCTCTGAGGGGCCAATTGCTTCCTCCAGCAGTGGGCTGGCCACCATTATCTGAAGAGTAAATGATAATGCTGTTGTTATAGAAACCATATGCCTTCAGGGCCAGGGTCACATTATGGATTGCCTCATCCAAGCAGGAAAGCATGGCGGCGTATCTACGCCGGTTTATGTTGATAATGGATCGATAGTGTTCAAAGTACCTGCCTGGGGCCTGCAGTGGTGAGTGGACAGCTTGGTAGGCAATATATAAAAATATAGGCTGTGAGGGGTTATGGGAAGCTAGTATTTGCTGCACTCTCTGCGTGTACATCTGTGTGGAGTAGATGCCATTGTCATGGTCCCAGGCAGCATTGTCATTTTCATACAAGTCATAGCCACACATACCAGGACTGTCACACTTGTAGTGTGTATAATAATCACCACTTCCCAAAAGGGAACCAAAAAAGGTATCAAACCCTCTCTTGGTGGGCATGCACTCTTTTCTGTAAAACCCCAAGTGCCATTTTCCCACCATATGTGTTGAATATCCAACCTCCTTCAGCTTCTGAGGTAGGGTTGCATTGTCCAGTGGTAAACAGTTGGGTTGGGTAGGTCTTATGATAGAATGTTGAAGGCCTGTGTGTATCTGATACCTTGAAAAAAAAATAAAAATATTGTCAGGGTAGCATCACAGAGATACTCCACATAAAACAATGATTCCTGAATTACACATTTCTGTAAACTACATAAACTTTACCCCATCATAGCTTGTGTCCAGATGTCCCCAAAAGCCTCATGTGGGTATAGGGCTTTTTCAGAGGTGGCTGAATATCTAGAGTGTGTGATGCTGGGATTAAGGGCATGTGCTTAGTAAATCAACCTACTTACTGGTTTGGCATAGTTCTGGCTAGGAATAAGAGTGTGAGAGCAATTTATGGTGGGCATCTGCAGACAACTTGAGGGACAGAGCCTTGTGTCTCCTTTGTGGCTTTTGCTCCCTTGTGGACTCCATGTACTAGTTTCTGCCATGTGTCACCCTGCTTTGCAGCCACCCAATTAAGGACTGAAGCCTCTACAGACTGTGAGCTAAATCAACCTTCCCCCTTTTAACTTTGGGTGTTGGGTATTTTGTTCCAGCACTGAGGAAAGTAACTAAGACAACCTTAAATGATGTAAGACCTACCAGCACTTTTCCTTTGACTCAAAAGTCGCACTTTAATTAGCTTCAATTTAATATCTGAAATTCATTTGAAGCTAAACGAGTATTTTTGGAGCTAAGGTTTTCCTATTGATCTCAAAGTCTTTTTAAAGTCCTTATAACAGGATGTATTCAAATAAGTTTTAGCATCCTAATTATATAACCCCTAACTAACAAGATCAGACAGAAGACGTACAGAATTGGAGTATTATTATCATTTTTTAAATGAGGACCTCATGTTCCTAAATCATTTCCTGAGATCATTTACTTCAAACTAACTCTTAAGTACTGAAAACACATGCAAAATTATACAAAAATCTCTTGATAATCATTAAACAATATTTCATTCTTAGTGCCTAAACTTTTAAATCTCTGAGAGGAGAAAGAGAAGGTTTCTGGCTACAGAATATTTATTGTTGAAAAGCCATTTTAGAATAGATGTTGGAGCTTGTGCTAAGAATTATATTTTTCCATTAAAAGCAGGAAATGAGTCCTCGCATATGTTTCCCACAGTGTTCTCTCTATCCCTTATATTTACTGCAGTCCTTTGGAATCTAATATGAGAAAACATGGAGACCTTCCTATATGTTGAATGAATGTTAATTTGTAGCATTATTCTTTGCAAAGGTTTTTTTTTTTTCCTCTTAGAATTTGATTGCCTTCCTGCAAGCAGGCACAGGGGCTGGGGGTTTGATACCCAGGCCTGCCGTGCCAGCCCCACCCCCGGGGGCGCACTGAGATGGCAATTGAGACTGGGCATGGTGGTGTGCACCTGTAATCCCAGCACTTGGGAGGCTATAAACAGGACAATCACTATGAGTTCAGTCTAGTGAGACCCTGAACACTCTGTAGATCCTTCTCTAAAATACAGAAAAAAAATTTTGATTGCTTTCACATACATGTATGGATTTTTAGTTTTGTCTGTATATGTCTACTTATGATATTTTAAAAGTTATTAACTTGAATTAATATAAACTAAAAAAGATTTAGGATATAATACTAAGTTGTTCAAGATCAGTGAGGACTCAGGAAATAAGAGAACCTGTACTGTAACATCCTGTAACTCAGTGGTGTCCCAAATTTTCTGATCAAGGACATTATGGGGTCACAGAGGAAAGTGATCAATGATGTAGAGTGTGCCTAAGGAGAGTCACATGGAGAGAAAACATTCTCTCAGGCTTTCTCAGAGAGCTAATTGGTCAAGCAATGGCCATGACTCATTCACGTGGCTGACACTGACAAAGAATCTGTAAACTGTGTTACAGGGTTTCAAGCTAAATCCTGAGGGGATTTGACTGACCTTGTCAGATATAAAAGTTATGTTTCTTGTTATATAGGTCTTGCTTTATCTTGGTTTTAACCATCCAGCAGAAAAGTATAAAAAGTAAAGCCATATTAGTATCCTGAGCTGTAAAAGGCTCAAGTCAACTATTTGTATATACAAAATAGTTATGATAAATATACAGCTACTTTCTCTTAATTCAATGAAAAGAAAGATTTGTACTAATAGTGTTTGGACAGGCTATCATGTCTACATCTTGTACTATGAATAACTACTATGAAGACAACAGTATGCAATGCATTAATTATTGTGACTGTCCTAGTAACCTGTTTTGAAACTGTCTCTTTGCTATTTATTTCTCAATAAAAGTAAAAAAAATAGTGAGTTGTCAAAATTGTCAAAGCAAAAAGAATAGTGCAGAAAATTTTAAGGGTAAATAAGAAGATATTCTTGGAATCAAATTACCAAGAATATTGAAGTAAAAACTCAAAATTTTTTTTCCCAGTGACTTAACTTGAATGGTCAACATGTTATACATACTTTGGATCCATGGATCAATTTACTTTTATAAATTTATTTAAAACTTTTTGTTACTGTTTATTGATACAGGGTCTTGCTTTGCAACTTGGAGTCATAGTGATCCTCCTGTCTCAGCCTCCCCAGCACTAGTATTACAGCTGTGCCCCACCACACCTGGTTTCTGGGGCCGGCACAGCATGTGGTACCGGAGATTGAATGTGGGTCTTTGTGCTTGCCAGGCAGGCACTGAGACAGCTGAGCTATCTCCACAGCCCACCAGTTTAATTTTAAATGTTCAAATGAAAATGCAGTGTAAATATGAGTTTCTTAGGAGTGTCTATAGCAGACACAGCCTGGTGACTTTGTGGGGCCTATAATGACAGTTGGTCATTACTGCAAAACTACATTTATATGCGCCCTGTCTAGGCCTCTGATTGTTAGCAGTCATGCTTTCATAATAATTACAGTTTTGGAATTTAAAAGGTAATAAACTCATAAAGAAATAGACTTCACAGGCATCATCAAGCAATAAATTGAGAAGACATTATTATTAACTTTGGTAATTTTATTTTTTTAATTAAAAAATTGTTTTGTTTTTTCTGCTATGCCATTTAGGTTGGCCTTGAACTCACAGTCATCCTCCTGCCTCAACCTTGTGAGTGCTGGGATTACAGGATTGTACCACTATGGCTGGCTATCTCTGGTAATTTTTAATCCATCCCAAGATCTCAAACATTTTCATTTGTGAAACAGCTAATTTTATACAAGTATATGACAAATTTGTGACATCTATCAAGGAAAACTTGGGAGAATAAGGGAGAAAGTTGTATAGGAAAATGTTGGGAAGGGATTCATGGGATGGTTTATTAATTAAATAATTACTATATGCCAAAAATATACTTGACTGGAATGTATATGTCTACATTAGCCCCTTGAAGTGCTAAACAATTCAAGGTTTGTTTTTTTTTTTAAATTGAAATAGTCATTTTTGTCACCTAGGGATAAAGGAAAAACGAGTTGAGGCTTATGACAAATGTGAAATCCAGGGATGCTTGTAAAATTAAAAAACAAAAAAGGAAAAAAGAGGTTTGGTGCTTTCAGAAGATGAGACAGGGTTAGAAGATAAATGAGAGGTTAGGGCTATCAATCAACTATGCGGTTTTTGTTCTGTAGAAAGAAGGGTGGTTTCCATATTGGAAAGTTAGAAACACCAATGTAAAGGTTTGGAAAAATCTTGTAACAGGAAAGAGATTTTGGAGAGGCTTCTGCTTAAGTGATTCTGAGCTTCTGACCATGAGAAGTAGTTGGAAGCAGGACTGGGGTAAAGGCTTAGTGCTCAGGCTTCACACTCACACCTGTGTTAGAATTGACCTCCCGGCTGCTACCTGTGTGACTCTGGCCAGTCGGTAATCCTTCTGATCCTTAAGATGGAAAAATAGAGAAGCTGTGTTTTCCTCAGCTCCCGCAACCTGCCCCACTAGATTGTTACATTAATTGCTGAACAGCAAGGCTATGTCTGATGCTCCTTCCATTTAAAAGATAAAAACAGTTAAAATTAGTACTGTTTAAAAAATCAAGGAGCAGAAGAATGATACCAGAATTCTTTAGAAGCAAATATGTTTTAACTTTCCAATGAAAACAGAAGAATTTTCAAACTGGATAGTGAAGCTTAGCTTGATCTGAGAAAAATCTGATTACGATTTTTTAAAGTAGATGATTTATGAGGAGTTCAAAAAGAAAAAAAATAGGCAGAATCAAAAGGAAAAGTTTTTCCAATTTGCCTTCATTTCCCTTTTCTCCCTTTCTATTTTTTACTTTTAAAGAGAATAGGAAAAATAGTAAAAGAATAAAATATAAATGACATAGAATTTCACTAAACAAAATGATAGGTATTCAACAATGTCTTTTATATTGCATGTTGTTGTCTTCAAATTAGTTGTTCACAGAACCAGATATAAGCATGACAAATTGGTCAAAAAGTTATAAAAATTAAAAAGGAGAGAGAAAAAAAATTAAGCATTAACTGATTCTTTCCATAGCCCAGCAGAAATCAGCAATGCAATTATCCAAGCTATTCTGTATGCATGTGTATACATATATATATTTTCCCCTTTCCTACTTTCTTTTTCTTCTCTCTCTCATCCCAATTGTTGTTCCTACCCTTAGAACAGTTTCTTTTCCTCTCATAATATGTATTGTATCTTTCAGATTCTATTTACCCTTTCAGGTTCTTACATTAGAGAGACAATGTGATGTTTTCCTTTTCTTTTTTTAAATGTATTTTAGTATAGAGTCTACAGGGTCTCACTACACAGATCAGACTCATAGGGATACTCCTGTTTTCAGCCTGCTAAGTGCTGGGATTACAAGCATGCGCCACCACACACAGTCTCAGTTGTCACCTCAGTGCACTCTGGGGGCTGGGCTTGCACGGCATGCCAGGTATCAAACCCCGGTCCCTGTACTTCCCTAGCAGGAGCTTTAGTCTGCTGAGCTATCTGGTTGGTCCTTCCTTTTTCTTTTTGAAGAATCAGTAATAAGTCAATAATTTAAGAATGAAGTAGTATGTGAAAATCTGCCCATAACTTTTATCACATAAAATAATATAAAGCCAAGTATATTGGAGATCAGACTGACAATCTTGCATTTTAATG